TTCATGGTGTAAGACTACCAAACTCAGTTCATACAGCCTGCATAAGCATCACTTCATAATTCCATTTGCTGTTGCCACTTAACTATGGCATGTTGGATATGTCTTCAGCACAGTAAACCATTTAAGCTTTTGTTCCTGTTTAAATAGGTGCTTCTTTTTAAATTTGCATTTGAGACTGTGGTTGTTAGTGTGAATATATGCTTAAAGTTAAGCACAAAAACTCTTCTGATTCAGCATCCTTACTGTGCTGGGTTTGTTATTCCACCACGACTCCATGACTATACTGGGAGTTGATGGGCACTGAAGGACAGGCTGCCAAGATACATGTTTCTTTCCTAGGCTGAAGGTTATAGGTGCAAGAGTGCCAAGATGCTTCCTCCCAAGTGCTGGGCAGCTGGTTGGGTGTAGGTTGTAGCAAGGGTTCCCACCTCCTACAGGGGCTGGAAGTGGGCAGAAGCCCAGAGCTGGGAGCTGACGCTTTCCTTCCTCCAGACGCTGTGGTCCCCTCCCCGGTGTCACTCTGTGCTGGGCACCCTTGTGCTAAGAGCTGATATCTGACAGGTGCAGTCTCCTGTGATGAATTTGGTTCAGTTCTACTGATATCCTCACCGGGAATTTCAGCACCATTGTTTATATGCATTAATTGGTGTGAACAATTACTATTCAGCCCCTGACTCTGCATCCCCAGGCCTTACCCTTGTGAATTCCAGTGACTTAAATAGTGTTATAATTTTTTTTCAAAGAAAGTTTTCCATAAAGGGTCCCTTATTGCTTGTTACCTGGTTAGTTATGGATATTGGTTCTAGCCCCATTTTTTCAATTACCACCAGGCTGCATGCCTGAATTTTAGTTATCTATGTGCAGTTTAGGTATGTGATTATCTGCCCAACTCTAGTTAGTTTTCTGTTTTCTCTACCACACTGTGTTTACCAAGCCTGTGTAACAAAAATGTTTTATATTGTTTAGAGATTGTGTTACCTCTCTTGAGTATGTTGTTCTAAAAGGAATTTGAGTCAGTGTTGAGTTGCTTCTATGTTTGTAATTAATTTAAGATGTTTAGTATAGCAGCTAGATTTTTCCCTGTTAACTGTGCTTTACTGAAATTTCATGATCTACAGCACACCCTAGTGATATCTGGAAATCATGAAGTTAGACCCAGTCAATTTTACTTTCTTTGCGGTGAAGCAAAACTCAGGACTCCACTAAGCAAAGTCTAGGAAAGTAAATGCCTTTGTATCCAAGATAGGAAGCGAGTTGAATCCCTTAGTTTATAAAACAAAAATTAGCCTTAGAAATTGAGAATACAGGATATTCTTCTGTGAAAAGAACATCTGTATAATGAGTTCATCTGGTTTGCAATCTGTAATGTTGGACGTAGTTTACAACAGACCATGGGGAAAAGCAGACCAGGGTTGTGTGAGAAGAGAGGAGGGTATTTGTTGGGTTCCTTTTTAGACTGGAGAAAGCATGGAGAGAGCAACCAACCAACAAGCCTTGTGGAGGAAACCTGCAGGCAGTCTTTATAGGGTAAGAAGCCTGAATGGTCATTTAGTGTCTTACAGTCAGAATATCAAAATTTATGCTAGATACTCAATTCTTCCTTTTGCAGATTGTTAAGTCACTTGTTTTTTCAGGTGATGGTACCTATATTTAGTATTCAGTGGCCAACAGGCCCCATATGATCCTGCAGAGGGATGTGCACCTTCCCAACTTTTTAGGCTACCTTGCACTCACCTTTTTCTGGATTTCTGTATTTCAGTCATTTGATATCTTTATAATCATCTGAATGTACAGAATGTCAAGGGTTTCGAATTGGGTGCTGTTGACTCTCTGATGGGTTGAGAGGAGAAAGCAGATTTGAGAAGGACTCTGAGAAAGAAGTGGAATTAAATAGTCAATAAGGAAGGCAAATATTTATCAGAGGTGAAATCAAACTAGTGACGTTTTGGTAACACTGAATGGAAGTGCAAACAATATGAGCATCAGAGAAGAGTGTAGCTCTTGTAGTTACGGTTGTTGAAGTTAACCCTCACATGAGTTCTTCCGGAGAAACAAAGAATCTATCAGAGAAATGCGAGTTCCCAGTGGCCTAACCTCCCAGTGTGTGACAGCTGTACAGAGTACACTCGGGTGTCTTGTGCAAGTTCAGTATGCCTGTAGAGTTGTTGCTGTTTGCTGTGTGTGCTTAAGCTGCAACAACTAAGCTATCCCAGAAAAAATAGGTTTGGCCACTAGACAAGCAGACCTGAGACTATTATTTTCTTGAAGGGTCATGAAACCCTGAAAAGTGCAAGGCAGCCTATACCAGTACCCTTGACCAGCTTGCAGCTCCAGCTTGGCTCAAATGGAAGAGCTGATCCTGTATCTCTGTTACATGTACAGAGCATTAACTGTCCATGCAAGGCAAAGCTAAAGGTGGGGTCCTGCTTTTTGGCTCACTTACGCATGAGAAATCTATGATATTTTGGGGAAAGACAAGTTTCCTCTCACACCTCTGCATTTCACTCTTGTCAGGTAATCCAAACAATAATGGAAATGAGCGTTTTGGTTTATGTAAATAAAAACAAAAAGTTTGCAATAATTTATGGTATTTATTTAAATGACATGCAAATTACTTTGTGAAACTTGGGGGGAAAGCAGCACAACAGAAACAGCACAATTGTTTCCAAGAACATTCATTTCAAATCCACATACAATATTTCATTCATGCTTAATTATTTCCCCAATGCTAGTCTAAGCATTACTAGTTTCCTTTGTCTTTTTGCTTTTGCATGCAGTGTGATTAGCAAAACTGCTTGTGCTCTACCAACTCCTGCACATATGGGGTTTAGCCTCATTGTTCAAGAGGTGGAGCAACATGCAATATGAACACTCATGCTGCCAACTTTGGCACACGTGAGCCCTCCAAAGTATACCGATATCTCCCGTTTCATTTAAATCCCTGTCCATATTTTGCATTGCTACCATAATGGCAACTTCATTGTCTGGGTGTATTATTTGAAGCAGCTTTTCTCCCATTGTTTGTGCACTGTAATCCTTGAGGTTTCTGTAGTCATCGTGAGCAGCTTACTGGAAAGAAATCACTTAGCTCTCACAGATCACTCTCTCTGAACCTGCTGGCAAACGAACAGGCCATGACTAAAGCATGAGACCTGTGATCTTTCTGAAGAAAATATCTTCAGTAGAGTTTATAATTTGTTGTTTTCATGGGGCTCTGTTCTCAGAGTTTGGGCTCAGTGTTATCTTTCGTCCCCCATGGATTTTTCTACAAGGCATGATGGGAATATAGGCTGGAGAAAAGAGTAACAGTGCTGGCTGTGGATGTGTACCCTGACAAAGTGTTACACGCGTTTCAAACACTGGCAAAGGGGGACATCTACTGTTTGACAGAAATTAAAGACAGTTGTTTATTTTAATTGCAGCAGAATCTTAGTCTTTTATTCTTCTGTGGTATAGAGATTGGCACATCCTGCTGTGAGTCTTTTTGGCAGACAGTTGGGAACTTAATGCTTATCTACTTAGGACAGAATGAAAGATCCCCTGGAACTTGTCACAGAGAAGGGGCTGCCTAGTTCTATCTCGTTCTAGCATTCGGTCATCTGCTTGGTCAGTGCCCTCTACTCCAGTTGCACTTGTCTCTCATGGCTGTGTATACACACACTGTTAACAGGTATTTAAAGCTATTTGGTATTAGCTGTTCTTTATAAATTATGCACGTTACCAATTTTGAATGCACATCATTTAATTCTTAATTTTACTGAGACAGTAATTTATGACATTTTCAAGGCAGTGGTTCCCAAATCAAAGTCTGTAGAAAGCCAGCAAAGGGCCTCTTTGTGTAGTTTACAAAGAGTTTCCAGTTCTTTTTGTTTCCAAAGTCTAGATCATGTTGTCGGACAAATATAAATATGGTATAAACACTGCCCTGCTCTTCATTTAGTTTAACAATAGCTCTTTAGACAGTCCTGTTGCAGCCACATAGGCATCATGTGATCCCAAATGGTGACACCCTTCTGATTGCAAGTGAAGCAGAGGGGTGGCCTGGGAGGCAATATTACTTACTAACATCTTGCTAGCTATTTAATATTATCACTGGTCAGTTCTAGTTTTATATTATTCCGAGTCAAATCTGTTTTCGCAGTCAGTCTCTGTCACCGGCTATCTTCGAATCTGTATCCTGTCACGAGTATATGTAATAAAACTTGTTATATGTAAATATAAGTTTCCAGAAACTTCATGATTGCTACAAGGGATTTGGCTCATTGTGCTGCTGGCAGGGTCCCTGAACGGGTTAGGCAAACATCCTCCGACTTTGTGGGCTGCCCAGGGCGGGCAGGTGGGTCAGGTACAAGGGTCTCATCTTTTCTTGGGAAGCTGGTAGACTGGTCAAATTGCTCCCTGACCTCTATTGGTCTGACCTTGTGTCATAATATGACAGCAAGAATTAGGGCAAGGAGAAAACACCTGTCAAATTTATCAATTATAATCTGCTAGTTACGATAGAGTGAGGCTCTGCTTTGTCTTTTTCCCAGAGCTGTGCACGACGCTGAATGCACATGGCGAACGCTCGAGGCAAAGGCAATGAATTAGATAGAAAGTTTCTTAAGTCTTTCATTGCTGGTACTTGTCCTTGTTTGGACAAGTTTGAATTTGTCATAAAACCAGATTTTTTTTGGTCTACTGTGCCATTTCATTTGCGATGTCAGTAACCTTTAGCTGTTTGCAAATAGGTATTGTTTTTCCAGAAGTGAAAGAGAAAGCAAATTTGTTTTTTTTATTTACAATATTGCCTGTGCCTCTAAGTTTTTTTTTTCCAGAAGTGAAAGAGAAAGCAAATTTATTGTTTTATTTAGGGCATTGTCTGCTCCTCTGTCCTTTTAGTCTCTCAGACTCCTGAACTCCATTTTTTCCTAAAACTCGTTTAGGAGCAAAATTTATTCCCTGTTGCAGAAATCAAAAGATAACTTAAAACATCTTTTCCAGGATCTTAGCTCACCAAGATGCCCATCAGTGTTGATGATGTCATGCAACTGTTCTGCCACCTCTCTCAGAAGAAGAGGATGAAAGCTGCTGTCAAACACTCTGGTCAGGAGAAGGGGATGACAACTGCTATCAAACGCGCTGCTCTAGGAGCAGTGCTAGTAAGTGCAGGAGCAATTTGTGGAGGTCTGGTGGGAGGTCCGTCTGGAATTGCTTTAGGTAAGTGTGTTTTGCTTTAGGAACAAGAAGTGTGGTTAACTCCTTGAGTGAAGAAACTAGCAAGTCTGTGTAGTAGGTGTGGGTTGAAGGAAAGCGGCACACAGCACTGAGATTTCATGTTAACTGGGCTTTCACAAGATGCCATTTTGTATGTTGGCTTTTTGGAAACAAGATGTGCACCAGGAAGGCATGTGTCAGTGTTTCCTTCTAGGGTGATAGCGACCATGCTGACTTTGGCTCCTGTGCAGCAAACGGGAAGCCGTGCAGAGGGCTGAGGCTGAGAGAGTGGCACCTCTGAAACCTTTGGAACAAGCTGTTCAAAAGAAAGCAAACTGCCAGGCTCTGAGCTTGTTAGTGCGGGCTCTGCTCCAGCCCTGCGGTGGGGAATGAAGAGGAGAGGGGTGAGGTGGGGGAAAAGGAGCACGAGAGGCCATGGTAGCAGCGAGGGGGGATGTTGGTACCTGGTGGCACAGAGGAAAGGAAATTGGGGTGTAAAGCTAGGGTGGTCAAGTGTTCTTGGTCAGCCTTAGCAAGAGACAGGATCATCTTCCTAATGATCTTCTTTAAAATAATGTTCATTTCACTATTTTAAAAGTACCTGCTAGCCACTTCTTGATGAGCTTGGTTTTTGCCTCTGGAATTCGTAATTCCCTGTCACTTTGCCTTTTTTCCTTGTATGGAAAATTACAGAAAGGCCAGAGTCTAATATTAAAGAGTTGTCTCTCCTCTGTATCTCTTGGATTAAGAGTTGTCTAGTTTGAAAGCTTGTTTAAGTGTTTGTTTAAGCTTTCATAATGTTCTGTGTCTTACAGTCAAGCTCAGTGTTCTTCAGCCACTGATGAGAGAGGCACAAGTATACCTGGTACTGTGCACCAGAAGTATACAATAAGAAGTGTAATAAGTATATATGGTAAGAATAGTAAGTACTAAGTATACCAAAAGCTGTGTCCTGATTGCAGTGCAACTAAATCAGAAGACCCTAATTTAACTTTTAAAATTGCAAAGGTAATTGACCCTGGGTTGATGGGTTAGGCTGATGGGCTTGGTCTCTGAGCACCTTCTGAGGGGTGGACTTCATGAGGGTAGGAGGTTGCAGCATGTGGAAAGCTTGGATCCTTCTAGGAATCTCTAGTAAGAGATAATGTGTTAATGGCACTGGCAAGGCAGTTGTTGGTCTGGTGTTTTCCTTGGGCGTGGTTTTATTTACTGGTAGAGCTTATCCTAAAGAGACCAGTGCCATGAGGAGTGTTATTTTGTTTCTGATTTCTAGCTTGAAACTATTAGCTTTGATTGTCTAGATTTCCTTTGTGATTGCTGTGGATGTAAAAAGCTTTAAAAATCTGTATTGGTGCTTTGAGCTCATGTGTAAACCTAGTTAAAGTAGACATATAAGCAACTCTGCATTGATTTCTAATGAAAGTGGGAACATTGTTGATGAAAGCTGTGTATAGAATTTCAGGTGTTAACATTAACTGGCAAAGAGTAACAACATCTCTGTCTCTTTTCTAGGAGGAGCATTCGGTGGATTGCTTGGTGCCTGGGTGACTACTGCACCAAGTTTCAGGCCAGTCCCTCAGATTTTGTTGGAAT